TAGCGGTAAGCTTTTGGACTTACAACGCAACAATCAAGGGTTCGATTCCCCTCGGTGGACACAGCAGATAGCTCGATGTGGTTTTGCTATAAGCACACAACACATATTAAATTTTCTATAACACAACATACATACACTGTGGGGGGAGGGCACACAAACGTCTTATATATGTCAGCAAGTGCGCTAGCACTCTCTATGGAGGAATATAGTGAGAAAAACTGCGCCCACTATTGCAGTAATACATAAACTTAGATGAAATTGATACGACAACAGCCACAATAACGCCGTTTCTTGAGTTACACCTTCTTCCTACTTTGATCTGTGTCCTAACACCTTCGTCCTATAAGACACTTCTGCGACCAATTACCGTCATTTAATTAATAACATGAAACAGTGTGGAAGGACATTAGAGATTGAAAGGACATTGAAAGTAGGTAACAGAGAGCACTCCTAGCGCCATAACTTTGGCGGCTACCTCTTCGTACAAAGTCCCCCTGACCATCGCATAGTATATACTATGTTTTATGTATACACATAGTGCGTTCTTAAACCTTGTACAAAACTTTTAGTGAGATGATAACGAATACTCTAATAATATGTTATGTTATAAATAAAATGTGTGGAAGCTATGTTTTTGTATTATTTATCATAGTATCCACCCCTACATTTTTTTTTTTAAGTTCGTTACCCGGACAAAGGACGGGTACCTCAGCTTGTCATTTATAAAATTAAATATTTTGCTTTATGTACATGTATTACTAGTTGTTCATTATTCGCAAAAAAATAGTATAAGTGAGTCAAAACTTTAAGAAACAAATAGTAAGGCCTAATTTGAAAATTACAATATAGTTTAAGTCATAGACAGGGGAAAGGGTTTGAATTTGTGGGAGGGGGGCGTCAATTGTGGGTTCTGTATTTGCTATGTTAACCATGAATGTTTAAATCAAAACTGAAACAACGAATTTCTTTGAGAGCTACACAAAAGTCTCTATTCTCCATTTAAAGGGGCACTTTGCTACCGGATAAAAATTTGGGGCAAGTGCCTCCAGTTCCACCGTATAAACGCATCACTAATCAAACACGTCAGATAAAAAATTTTAATACTGCACAGAGTATCAAGGGGTAAAGTGGCACATAACTAAAAAACACACAAACGGACTATCCTATACATGAAATAGATGAACATTTCCAAAGTGATTGTCCCCAAGTGGCTCAGCGGTAAGTCTGAAGACATATGATGTTAAAAACCAGGTTTCCACACCAGTGTGGGCAAAACGCAGCTATCCAGTTGTGTAACTTTGTGCTTAACTACAACCAAACTGACCTGATAGATGAACATTTCCAAAGTGATTGTCCCCAAGTGGCTCAGCGGTAAGTCTGAAGACATATGATGTTAAAAACCAGGTTTCCACACCAGTGTGGGCACAACGTAGCTATCCAGTTGTGTAACTTTGTGCTTAACTACAACCAAACTGACCTGATAGAGGAACATTTCCAAAGTGATTGTCCCCAAGTGGCTCAGCGGTAAGTCTGAAGACATATGATGTTAAAAACCAGGTTTCCACACCAGTGTGGGCACAACGCAGCTATCCAGTTGTGTAACTTTGTGCTTAACTACAACCAAACTGACCTGATAGATGAACATTTCCAAAGTGATTGTCCCCAAGTGGCTCAACGGTAAGTATGGAGACATGTGATGTTAAAAACCAGGTTTCCACACCATTGTGGGTACAACGCAGCTATCCAGTTGTGTAACTTTGTGCTTAACTACAACCAAACTGACCTGACATACACAAAAAACTAACCAGCCAACCAACCACTAAGGAAACAGAATTACATAGATAAAAAATAAAACCAGAAGCACAGGAAATTGAACCTCAAAATAAATAGACATATGGTAAAACAAATATACACATGATAAACTAAAAATTACTCATAATAAATGATCCATAGAACCGGTATTTGCACATTATATAACATTACCCGACACACGCAATTACACGTAGTCTGTAAATTCGACTAAACCACAAACACAGAGAGATATCATTAATATGCTTTAGGTCTGAAATTGATAATTAACACAGTAATTTGAATACGCAATTCTACAGCTGCAGCACATTAATCAGACCAATACCCCAGTTCAACATGAAGAACAACACATCAATCATGCATATGTATAAAACAACAGTAAACCAATAGAACAATATGGAATATTCAATATTATATACCTCCTATATAATTATAATACATTAATATCTTTCATTTTCATGGTCAATTTTCAGGAAACAGTATGCATGAGTAGATGAGAATTTATTTGTTTCTTTCTTTGTTGAATTTCGCTACTGTACATTAGCCATCTTTAATTTTGAAGTGGTAGACTAGAGGGATGGCAGGTAGCTCACACCATCTACCGCCAACTCTTAGGATACTTTAATCGAGCAGGGAATTTGACTGTCACTTTTATAAGGCAGCCACTGCCCAGTGTGCTGAATGCAATTTCTTTTTTCTTTTGCGGTAACGGAGCACGAACCACGAAATCTCAGATCCACAGTTCGGCACTCTAGCGTAGAGTCGTGTTAATTAAGTTCAAGGGTTGATGTGATAAATGTCCTCACGCACTTAAACGTTGAAGTGGCGTGTATTAGGGTAAAGGCTTATTCTCTAAAATCGTGTTTATTGATCTAAATATCTAATATACTAAACGATTTCATGTGAAGTTGCTAGTACGACGGTTACTACTGAATTAAAGGATTAAGGTTGTTTAGTCGCTACAATGTTGCATGTTGAGCTGAATAATTGAAGTCGTAAATGGCTTCACATCTAGTCGCTCTGATGATGTGTTTAAGCAACAGGCTTGTAGTACTAAATGCCACAAGTTTAGTCACTACAGTGGCGTACATTTGACTAAAGACGTAAACTGGTAAATTATCACAAGGTTAGTCATTTCCATGATGTGTATTGACGTGGCAAATTACTTCACTTTTGGTCGTAACAGTGACGTTCATTAAGCTAAAGGCTTGACGTAGTAAATGACACCACGGTGGTTTCGCTAGTGTTTATTATTATTATCATTTTGTTGTTGAAACCAAAGTTACACATTGGAGTATTTATGCTCTAGCCATTGCGAGTATCAAACCCCGATATTTAGCGTTATAAGCCTATGGACTTACTGCTGAGCCACCAGGAGTCGCTAAGATAGTACATAATGCTAATAGGTTGATGTGGTATATAAATGATCCATGTTTCATTGCTACCATTTAGATGCTCAAGTGGTGTGCTTGTAGTTTAAGGTTTGGTTTAGTTAATGGCTCTACGATTAGTCTCTACTACAGCGTGTGTATTTTGCTAAAGTCTTGATGTTGAAATGACTGCATGTTTAATCACTGAATTGGTGTGGTGTGTATTAAATTAAGTTCAAAAGTTGATGCTATAAATGATTGGGTTTAGTCACTAGAATGGTGTATAGTGAGCGAATAGCAGAATGCTGTAAATTTCTTGGTTAAAGAAGTTAAGAAAATCGCTATGGAAAATCCGCTCTAGCTATATGGTACAAGGGGAGTTGAAATAGTACAATAGGATAATTGAAAGATTGTGAAAGAACTAGAATGAGAAGCCTACAACAATATGCGAAATCTCGTTTGTTTTTCGGGCAAAATTGAAAACTGCAGCTAACTATTCATGATTAGCTGCATTTGGGAGAGATGGGCGTGGCGAATGTTTTATCTTGTCACTCAAAATCATTAAAAGTCATACTCCTCTGGCTGTCATCAAAACTTGTGAAGACGTTTTCTGCTACACTGGATAGTTGAATTGATTTTTTTACATCTTATAAGAAGATTGACCTCGTGAATTAGGTATTAACCCTCCCCCAAGCCCCAGATTTTCTCTTTAACCACTGGGTAAATGATTGACGAGCCATTGGACAGTATTTTCTTTTCGCAAGAGACTTAAAGTGGTAACTAACCTACTGTTTAGTTAACACAAAGGTTCATATTGAACTAAACGTGGTAACTAAGCTACTGTTAGTTGATACAATTGTCCATATTGAACTAAACGTGGTAACTAAGGTACTGTTTAGTTGATATCATGCTGCATATTGAACTAAACGTGGTAACTAAGCTACTGTTAGTTGATACAATTGTCCATATTGAACTAAACGTGGTAACTAACCTACTGTTAATAATGGCTGGAGACGGCTTGAATGGGTAATGAAGAAAAACTTTAATACAACAGCAAATGTACAACGGCTTGCCCGGGACATGTTGTTGAGTTCTTACTCCATATGCTCCACTCTACCCAGCTATATAATGGGTACTACGAGGCAGCTGGAGTTTAACCTGCGAAGGACTGGCATCCTATCCATGAAGAATGTGTCAAGATTCTCATCTGCTTATGCCACATTTATCGTATAAACTTTCCTCTGAGAGATACCAGCTGAAAATGACTTAAACTATTTGTGATTAGAATACTGTAGTGTCTTAGAAACATTAGAGTATCGATATATTCAAACATTTATATTTAAAAATCCATTTGTTCAATTTGCAAAAAAAGAAAAGAAAACAAAGTTATGAAATTAAACAATCTTTTGGTTGGATTCTATTTTCTCATCGCCAAGATTTTCTCTATTGTATTACACTACAGTTGTTCAAATTCTTTTCTTTTTGGTTTGGATTGGTACAAATAAAAGAAATATATTACTTTTTCTGACCCAATCTTTTCCTCAAGTCATCTACTTAGGAATATATTCAATACATATGATATGTATAGTGTATTTGTGATTTTTCTTAATAATTAAATATACGAAATACAGGACGTTTGTTCACACATTAGTCCCCCGACATAGACAATCCGCGACTGTCTTCGTACTTTTGTTGACCTTCGAACAACCAAAAAATTTACGCAAGCGCAGTAAGGCGCATGCAGACGTACGGTGTTCTATGAATTTTTTACATCATGTACAAAAAAAAACCTTAAAAACGTAACTTGTACCTTAAATGAGCATGAGGTAAAGAGTAGATCTTGTTTAACACGCTTATGAATTGGGGAGTTTGTCTACTTTTGCTCAAATTCTTTTATCAGCCTTCAAATAAACTTTCTTACAATAACACCAGCACGTGCAACTGCGATAGTCTTCAATATTTCTATTTTAAACACTAAGTTCTGTTTGAGAAAAAACTACGTCCAGAAGATAAATAAATAGTTCTCAATGGTGAAATAATCATGGATCGTAATTTTTTGTTAAATTCAAAACTGTAATTAGTGTAATATCAATACGTTTATTTACAATTGAAAGATTCTGAGTTATTAGTGAATGGATAACTTTGGAAATCTATACAAATGTTTATACCGTTTGTTCAAAATTTTCAATATAGTAAGAGCGAATAAGAATTATGTATTTTTTGTATTGGATTTCTTTGTATGTTTTCTGATTTAACTTTATATGTATATATGCAGGAAGTTTATATAGGGATGTATGTACTACTTTCCTTATGCATTCATTGTCCTCATGTGAATAATTAATATATTTTATCATATGTCAAGTAACACAATGCTGGATAAGTTCCTAGTTACACTTTCAACAAGTATACCTTTTTTCTTTATCTTACATACGTTAACCCAGGTGTCAAGCCGGTACAGGAACGTGTGTGGTGGACAAGGCTCACAGAAACCAATGTCAGGCATGTCGGCTGAAGAAATGTTTACAGATGGGAATGAATAAAGATGGTAGGTAGAGTTTGAATAAGACTTGTTGCTTCTAGCATAAAACTGAAAGAACTTCTAAGATAGGTTTGTATAGTAACTACCATCTCTGTCTGTCAATGATATAGTAGGTCGAGAGAACTAATAGATGTAGTAATGAAAATGTATAAAAGTCCTTAAATATATAAATTTGTATTTCATTCTTTATTAAGATTTATTTGAGTTACTTATATGTAGGTAGGATACTCTCTGTTTTGTATATATTTTACAGAAATGAATCAGTAAAACTTTATGAAGATGTAGAAGCTGCTAAAAAAACACATGTAGAGTTAATGTATCGTATTCCAAGACCAAGTTACGTTAGGATTACATTAAATATAACTCCTCAACCAAAAACATGATTAAGATATTCTGTGTTACCTTCCAACATCGTTTTTGTTGTTGTTAAGTTTGTTTGTTTGTAGTTATGCACAAAGCTACACAATGGGCTATCTGTGATCTGCCCACCACCGGTATCGAAACCCGGTTTCTAGCGTTGTAAGTCCGCAGACATACCGCTGTGCCACTGGGGGGCGTTGTTGTTTAGAAGCACGAGCTAGTTAACTGTGAGTTATCAAATTATTCGGTTCTTTTCGAAAAGTTATAGCTTGTTGTTTGTTTTATATCTTTGGCAACTTTACGCTTGAAGACCAACAGACTCAAAGAAAACTGACTTAATATTGGCTTCTTTATAGAGCCTAAAATTACCTTTGATAGCCCTGAATGTTATTGATAACTTCTGATCATAAGTACTCTAATTATATAGATGAGAACTAAAAACATCTTACAAACTACTGAAACTCATTCTATGTAATATAGGTTAGATGTACACAATGTCATAAATGAATACCCAAGAAAAGTAAAACCTTTAATATGTAGAATGCATTGAATTTGTCTATTGTACTTTAGCCACTGGTTTTGCACACTTTAGGTCTAGAACATAATTATTGAGTAAATTTTGCTATTAATTATTTTTTCTGAAAAGTATTAGTATTTCCAGACAGTATGATTGAATGAAAAATATATCTATTGCTTACACGAAACAGTACCCGTTGACATAATTTATATGTTGAATTATAGCCCTTGAAATTATATCTATGTTGCTTTAATGATGCATATTTCTTTAAAACTTTCTCTTTAAAAGATGAAAGAATGCCAGTTTTACGTCTAATCCTATCCTTATCCATCATCATTTTCAGGCCATTTTAAAATGTTGAAATACTACATTAAAACATATTTCAGATAATAAAGTAACCAACTTTTAGCCTGACCTTCTGAAGAAACGCTACCTTCTTATTAATTATGTCTGAATTATAACAAATTAATACTGATATAAATAAAATTAGTGTTCCGAAAATTGTATGACTTCGAAGTTCAAGGGAG